TAACTTATTATTATATTCGTGTAGATCAATTCACCTGGAAATATCTAATTTTATTAGTTAATTCTATTATAGAGTAACGCCCTGCGAGTGCCATAACGTCATTTTAAATTGATTTCGAGTTTTAATTTGGCCCGGACCTTGGACTATTTGGGATTGGTGTATATTTTTTTCACGTTGAACACAAAAATTCATGTACAACGGTAAACAATATATAATTATTATTATTATTGCGTTGTTCGAAATATTAATTAAAATAACGAAATACAATGCGGATTATCGACTTTGGGAAAAAGTGTGAACGCTGGACATGATTAATATTATTAATTATGATTAAATATATACACACGTCCAGTGTTCCACATAAACAGAATTTGCACACGAAAAGCTACACATTACGATGAATAATTCTCAAGAGCTGTTCGCAGTTATGTCATGGCTGTAAAAAAAGTGTAGAAATTAATTGAAAACTTATCAGTCGCTTATTACCTAAATTTGATGTCATTGTCAGAATTGGATTGCAAATGTGGTTAGATGAAACCATTTATTCAATCGAGTTTTTTTTATAATTTTATCCAGTCAAGTTTGATCATATGTTTATAATGTGGAAATACGTAGCTTATAAGTTATCACAAGCTTCTCTGTTTGCACTAATGCACTTTATATGTAGAAAAAACAAAGTAATTCATGGTCCAATAGCGATGGTTCGAATCGTAATAAATAAGTATAACATGTTGTAATAAACGTGTATTTGTGCATGTAAACATTATAATAATAACAGTAATACGATCACAGGGAAAATATAACGAAACTTAGATATGTCGCGAAGTGTGTGTGAATGTGCTTAGACCGCTGTGTACATTATCCGTTTGTATATGAGCGCGTAATTATTAGAGCGAAACGTCTTTCGAATGGACATCGTATAACGTTTTATACATAAGAAAAAAGGGGAAAATGTAATGACCAACGCGTGTCAGTGCGCTCTTAGGTCTTGGCATAATACAAGTAATTTCTATCGACCTTGACCTTCCTCGACATGAAAATGACAGTAAATTACATCATTTTAGCTATTTCTCAATATTTTTCATCTTTTTTTGCAAAAAAAATACTTAATGTGGGTAATTTTTACAATAAAAGGAACAGCTATTTCAACGATTATCAAAAATATGATAATCGTTGAACCGCAGCAAACAATCGCGTTCATTAATTGCTTTAAGAACTACTTGGTCTAAGAACATCGTAAATAATATGCTCTTGTGAGTTTATTATTTACTGCTGTCAGTAAACATATTTTATGCCCGTGGGCATAAAAATGATGGTTTTAGGAGTTAGAATTAAATATTATAACATAAGAAACGTTGAGGTTCACTTTAGTACCTTTTTATCCCTGAGCTTTTATTGTAATTAGTAACCATATAAATAACAAAGTTCTACATCAAATGCCAAAGGATAAAGTAAATTTGTATAAAATCTATAAATTAATCATTTATAGATGAATTAATAGAACTTAAGATAATTTACTGACAACAGTAATTTTATTACTTTTGTTCTAGTTGGCTGATCCTGAAGTTATTATGAAATTATTTTAACGCTCGCTTTAGGCACGAACAAGTTCTTAAGTAAAACTATAATAAGTATCTATTGTAATAATAATAAATAAATCTTTAAAAATCACAAAAACCGATCACGTTTATTGTATTTATTATTTTGGAGAAAGGTTTTGTGGAATAATAAAAACATAAATATGTATTTAAGTATCATGTGATTAAATGATATTAAAATATAATATTCTTGATCCTTTTTATTCATTAAATTGTTTTGTCGTTAAGAATTTACTGTGAGAAACATATTATTTTTCTTGAGTATAATTTAATTCAATTTCTGTCGTTTGTCAATATAATAGTAAATGTCGTTTTTTTTTTTTTTTTTTTAATAAAAAAATTCTTTCGAAATCCTAAACAATTGTGTATTCGTTAACAAATTCGTTGTATGAAGATTTGACGAACAAAATATTACTCGTGACATAATATTGAACAAGTCAGGTTATAATGTAATATATTATTAAATATCACCGGTTCCATTGAAATTTAAGTACCCAAATAATTATTATAAAACAATACACGATGCACTTAATACTTGGGAAATATTAAATTACATTTCGACAAAAAAACGTTAGTACTTAAAAATTACTATGGATTTATCTCGATTTATTTTTTTGCACATTCAATTTAAAGGCGAGCTCAGTTATGGATACATGATCATTTTATTAATAGCTCCAGATAAAAGTATATTTGTTTAGTGCAAATTGACAACACCAAAATACTCTTCATTGTAATGAATTTTCTAACATTTATTTCGTAAAATATGGAAAAGTACTCAAATTTATATTTATTTTGCTTATATCCAAAAAATATCACAAAAGTAGATTATTGAGATTTATCAAAATTCGAATAGGAATGTACGTTATCTGTCAAAAAATTACGAGTTAACATTATCGGGAAAATTTGTTTTTAGCACTTCAAAAATAAAAAGTCATAAAAACATGGTTTTAAATTTTCGCCGTTTTATAAAATTAAAACCAGAAATTTAGAAATCAAAAATGCATAACAAAAATTCATTAAAATCTTATAACTTTGATGTTAATTACGAAATAAAACAGAAAAAATCAATTTTAAATAAAACATTTTTCTTTAGAAATATGATAACATAGTTAAGTCCCATTAAATAAATAATTGTGTCATTTTTATAAATTGAGTAAAAGATTTTCTAAATAGAAGAAATAAGCCCTTAGTTGGATTAGAACATGCTAAATGTGTATTTTCCTTCGAGGTTATCTAAAAAATAAAAGAAATGTTAATAAGTATTTCTATTCTAAGTTATTTAATTAAAATTTATGCAACTGGACACATGAATATAACTAAATGCTTGAGAAAATAAAATTTTATTGAAGGCGTGGGAAAATATTTTTGTAAGCAGTTCATGTTTTGTGTAACACAAACAAATATTCGTTAAGTAATAAAATAAATTACTATGATATGCTCAATTTGGGACAAAAACAGAGCGAAATAGAAATTGAAAATTAAACAAAAAAAAATATTGAGTGTTTGTATTTTCTTATAAGTAAAAATCAACATATACAATAATTCAATAAAAATGTTGAATCGTTAAAGTAATTGGTATGTAATGAGCAAACAGTTATCATACAGAGCAACATCAATATTACACTGCCTTAAACTTAAATAAAACAAACCAATTATGTCGAGAGGTAATTTATAATTCTTAAGTGTTTCTTTGTACATTATTTAAAATCAATTATTGATAATTTGTTATCCATTAAGTCTTTGACGACATGAAAAGTGTTGTGGCCGACATCAAACTATGATAGGTAATTCTTGTGTATCAACATTTCAGTGCCCTTCAATTTGTTATAGATGTTCAATTTCTTTTTAATTCAAAATATAATACACTTTTAGTTTATACCTTGAATGTATTACGTATTATTATATTTCCGATGATTAAAAGACGTATATCCTTTAGAAAACCCGAGTGAGAAAATTGGTTATTGACACGGTTATCGAGGACATGTATCGGTAACCTCTACGACTGTAATTTTGAAGAGATAATCATCGCAATAAAAATAGCCAGAAAAACGTGCCCTTATTGTTAATTTGTTCTGAGCTATAATAGTTAATTATTAACTCATTCATAATACAATGTGTTACAGAATCTATCGGCTACCACTAACTGATTAGCTGTGCAGTTTAAAATATCCTTCGTACTTTTTTTTGCGAGAACAATCGTAATACTGTAAATTATACGTAATATTTTTTACACTGCGCTAATACAGCAAATGAGCATATTTTATATCAAAGCACATCTCAGAATTTTTCGTTCTTTAAAAATGTTTTAAAAACTCTATTTTATTTTGTCCTGTAGTCTTTCTCGAATATTCAATACACTAAGGAAAATGATAATAGTTCAAAGAGTATTCACCCTACATACTGTTATTTTAATCAAGTATGAATCTAAGTAAAATTTCAAATAATATTTCATTAAAGTATTTATTGTGTTTCGATAGCAAAAAAATGTTTATTTCAATATTTACTGATAGTATTAAAAAGGAGCTAATTTAGAAATTTATAATGGGGGAAAATGACCCTCTCTTCAAGTACGCCATTGATATTAAACAATATTTGAACATTAAAACAAATCATTTAGTTTGAAAACTTTTAATTTTATATTATTTATTTTTATATGTTTGAAAACGTTTAAAATATTGTTAGTATTTTTGTGAAGTATGAAAAATCAAAAAAAATTAACACATAAAAACTATTCATATACGATTTTTTAAAAACTCGCGACAAAATATTTTTTAAATAAAAATTAAATTATCAAATTTTGAGAAAAAATAATTTTTTACTGATATGACTGTAGTTAGGGGTGGTCTTAAGCGTAGGATATGCTTATATTGACATTTTGTTAAGGGACAATCGACTTACAACATGATCAGATATTTACGTGTACAAATTTGCTTGGGTCACCTCTGACTGTGGCGGATTAATAGTAATAAGGTAACGTTAAAATACTTTGTGATTACTACATATATTTTTTTAACTGTGCCGAATATGTAGTGATTTCGCAATAAAAACTTTTAACAAAAAAGAAGTTTCGATAAAAGGTTATCGATATTTACCTAAACCGAAATGATACCTCAAAAGATATTCGATGGAGGACTCGGTGTGGCATATTACGTTTAAGTGTAATGTGTAAGTATTTAGTCCAAGGTTTGGAGTCGAATTTTGACCTAACAATACGAAATAATGCAAGTAAAAAAAAATAAAATAACAAAAACGATTATTGCGGACAAATGGTGAACGCCACCGCCGCAATGGTTCACAAAGAAACAACAATGCATCTAAAATGACCGCGGACGCACTCGGATGGACAACGAACCAATGAGCTGACGACAAGCGTGGGGAGCACTGCGTTCGCCCTTTAGTATATATACACCAGGTCATCTATGGAAAAGTCATACTGAATTCAACAGTGTTCTAGGACTGTCTAGCAACAAGTTTATCTCTACAACGTCACTGTGTTGTTCGAAAAACGTACAAAAATGACTTTCTTACAAGTGAGTAAAATTTTCAAAAACTGTTTTACAATGTTTAAACGTGAAATCTTAAAGAAACCAAAAGAGTAATTTTAATTGAGCTTCGTTTTTTTTTTTAACGTATATCTATTTAAATACCATTTTCAATAAAAGTTTAATACAATTCTCATATATATATATATTTTTGAGAGAGAGAGAGAGAGAAGATTTAGTTACATAAATCAATTTTTATACATTTTTTGATTTTAGAGTTAGTATCTTGTAGTTTTTTTATTCATATACAGAGTGATTTTTTTATCATTAGCCACTCAATTTTGTAAGTAATTGAGTGGACCATGATAAAAAAAATCACTTTGTATATCAAATTCGTATCATAGACTTCTGCAGTCTTAGGGAAAACATACATGAAGCTTTTCTCAATCTTGTGATACACGTCCTAATTATAATTAAATTTCTATGGTGATACATATAATTGAGTATGCGATCCTTCGGTCCTATACAGAAAATGAACCTTATTAAAAATAATTAAAAGTTAAAAAATCACGTTGTTTGTTTATTTATAACACTATTCGAATATAAAAAAAACTGAACAATGCGGCGACAAATATTCTAGTTAAGTTTCGGTTTTTTAGCAAAAGAATAAACATTTTTTTTCGTTATGTAAAACGATTTGCGTTTGACCAGACGGAGGAGTATAAGCAACACATGTGAATTTCCCACTGTACAGACATTGTTTACCACGTGAGTTGGCTAATACTTTAAGATAGGCAACTCGGCGTGATCAAATTTCTCGGATTTCAATACTACTACCGAATCACGCGCTAATCGTTTTTTACCGGTATTTTATTATATTTGATTATTCATTTGTATAGAATCGCGGCGTCTGTCTCGCAGCTTTTGCGTAATAGGCAATTTATCATTATCGTTATCATCTCCGTTCCCGTTGACCGCCCTAACCTAATTATCGCCGGTGTAATCGCATTTCACGCTTATCGTGTTAACGGCTGTCGCATTGTCGTGAAAACTGTTCGATTTCTGCGATTGTCGTGATCACATCGCATCACACACCGATCGAAACCGTGTAAATAAAATCCAATGACTCAGCACGACTCGGTCACACCAAAAGCTCACATACAGTGCCTGTACCTAACCCTCTTCGCGACCATTACAAGCTTACCACACCCAGTTGGATATCGTTTCGCGTTCTGTAATCGAGATGCACGATCCGTTCCGCATCAAAGATCGAATTAGCCAACTAACGTCTCCAAATGAGACAAGTTCTTACGTGTGTCTACGGTTTTTTTAATGCAATCGCCATAAACTTAAGCCATTGTGCATGACTATACATATAAAGAAATAGTCTTCTAATTTGTGAACTAATTTGTAACTCGGATAATACGATTTTATTTTTTTACAGTGTACACTTGCTGCTCTTCTCCTTCATGTCGCATGTGGTAGTTATCTAGCTCACCGCGCCGCTTACCATGGTGGTTACTCTTCGCCCATAGTATCCTCTTACGATTATCCGTCTTACCCAGCCGCCTATCCAGCATACTCTTCGGCTAGTACTTACCACACCGACTATCCAACCTACTCCAAACCCGTCGACTACTATGTGAGTATTGCGTAGTGAATATTTTATTGAAAATATCAATATTTGAAAACTTAAAAAATAATAATTCCATTGTTTACATTACATTAAGTCTCCGCCAAAATACTCTTTCAACTACGGAGTGAAAGACTACCATACTGGCGATGTCAAGGACCAATGGGAAGAAAGAGATGGTGATGTAGTCAAAGGAGAATACAGTTTGGTGGAACCCGATGGCACCACCCGTAAAGTCACCTACACCGCTGATGACCACAATGGTTTCAACGCTGTTGTACACAAGTCAGGACACGCACACCACCCGGCTACATTACCAGTCCACCACGCTCCTCTTTACCACAGTTACCGTCGTTGATAGGCTGTGTTTTTTATACAAAAGATCACTTTGCCCAGTCTAGTTATCGAATTTGAATTCAAGTATATTATTTTGCATATTATCATAATATACTTTTAGGTTAAGTTCTCTGTAAATTATACCAAATCAAAAAAAAAAGATTCACTTTCAGAAAACCAAATGAACGTCAATTTTCTTCATCTTCTGTATTACTTTAATAATATTAATGATTTAATTCCTTCACTTCAATAATGATCTCTTTTATGTGTTACATATATAATTATATATATCACAAAATATGCTTTATATTTTTATTCTAACTGTATGGTAAATCAAGAAAATTTTGTATTTTTATATTTTTTTTTAATTGAAGTTTTTGTATAAATAATTTGGATTGTATTTCTTATACATATGAATGTATACAGATTTAATATTCCCTGTTTATAACAAATAATAACAACACCATCCACTGTACTTCTTATTGCACTTTTTAATCCTTTTTGTATATATATTTCATATTTGCTCATTTTATTAAATAAAAGTACTTATACTTAAAATTATGTTTGTTTTATTGACCTAAAAAAATCGAAACTATACTAATCGTTTCTAATAATCGAACAAAGAATTAATTATTTAGTTTGAATATTATAATAAAACCTTTATCGTCTAACAGCTGATTTCACCTTAATTATTCTTAAACTAGATTGATTTAGATAATTTAATTATCAAAGAAAATTAGAATTTTTCATTTTATCATTTATTATGATTAAAAAGCAACGAAAAATTATTTCTGAAATAATCTATGTATAGATTTCAAACTCAAAATAAATGCCTACTAAAATACTTTACATTTTGAATTTTTTATGTTTATATATTACTAATTTCCTAAGCTATTTGGTTAGTTATAAATGTACTTCTATAGGTTTTATATAAGTTGATATAATAATGTAGAATTCATCACAAGATGAAGTCTTCTGTTAATTTTCTATTAGTAGTTTACTATTATGCATTTCGTGTTAAGTAAATCAAATTTAAAAACGTTTTAAAAAACAATTAAACAAAGTTGTGCCTGACATATGCGGGTCAAATGATACTTAAGTTATTACTGCGCTTTGTCTTTACAAATAAAACGATTCTTCAAAAAGTCATAGAATCTTAAGAATTAAAACAATATATACCACACATAACATCAAAAGTTTTAAGAGTCACGAACTCACTTTGATAGTCGATTTCTATTTATAATATATTTCCGGTATATGTAATTCTTTTTATATTTTATAGCGAACAAAGTGTACATTTATGTTTTTTAATACAACTATATCAGCCTGCTTATGATTGATTCAACGGTGGCCATTTTAATGTTATAACAATTATACTACTTATGTATATTATTCATTGTGATTTTATATTCAGCTTAATGTAGTTAATATCTTTCTGAAGGGAATACTTTATTTTACAATAGATTTTATATATAATTATAATTTTAAATTATCTAATATTAATAGATGTATTAAGTATTATTAATTTTAAACTTATTGAACGTAATAACATGAAAAAGATTTTTATTAATATTCTTTTTTTAATTTTTGGGGTCCATTTATCTTTAAATAATTTAATAATAAACGATTGAATTTAAATGTGTACTCTCTGACACTTGTTCAAAATAATTTAACTAACTTGAATTTTTATGACGTGGCATATAAAAGAAATAGCATTTCATGTCACGTCATAAAAAACTATTATGTACTCAATGTTCATTAGACATACAACCATTTGGTTTTTATGTATCAATGAAACTAATAACATCAGACCTGTTATTATTTTGATGATTTTTCAATCAAATTAATTTTAATTGAGAATTACAATCTAAACGAAAGCTAACAACAAATTTTTTCCCAATTCTTAAATAACTCGTACACTAGTAACACTACTGTAGAATTAAATTTGTTACATATTTCGTATAATTTTTACGCAATACATTTCATAGTGAAACCGTGTTATTTACAATAATAGCAACATATCAACCCAAAATATATTAAAAATAGTGTCGAACTTTTGGTACTGAACTCGTCAGTTAAGTTGCCTATACAAACTCCTTTATCTATTTGTATATTTTCTATAAATTCAAAAATACTTGTAAGCTTATTTTATTAAACACAAATATCAATATAAATTGATAAATTCACGATTTAAAAAAAAATCATTTTAAATTAGTATTAATTTCACTTCTTCAAAAATAATGTTTTATTCAAGTTAGTCGATATATTAATCACTATCAGTTATCGTCTGTACTTGACCAAACTATACTGGGGTTTTTTACATTAATACTAAGAAATATTAAATTATCTTGGATATATAATTTTCTAATTTCCTATAAAATCTGTGTTCCGGTCCTATGGCTAGGTAGCGGCATGGAGGTATACATTATAGAGCGACTCCACTATGTTGGGTTTGATTGGATTTCTTTTTTTTTTTTCTATCATCTCATCGAATAGTTTTTCGAATCTATAAATAGCCTTTATCATAACTATAACAATAAAATAAAAAGTAAAGGTAAAAGCTTAGATAAATTTTATAAATAGTAAAAAAAAAAATAATAATAGGTATATAATATGTACTATTAAAATAAAAAAGGATAATTTGATGTCACAATTTAGTTTAACTCTAAAACTTTACTTTAAAGAACCAAAATACTCCCAAAAAATATTTACAANAATTTAGTTTAACTTTAAAACTTTACTTTAAAGATCCAAAATACTCCCAAAAAATATTTACAACTAACACTTAAATCCTTTTTTATATTATATTTTTTTTTATAAAAAAAAGAGATTAATTTAGGGTACTTACTCCTCCTCTTATTTGACTATATTGTTTGACCTATTACGTAGGCATAAATAATTGACAAAAAGTTGATAATAAAAATTATATGATTATATAAAAACTGTGATTATTTAACACAAAAATAACATTTTTTGTTTAAATTCAGGTACCGTTCGCATATAGAAGAAAATTCATCGGGACAAAATTATTTTTATTAACTTATAGTAAATAACTCGTAGTTTATTACACAAGCTCTAATTTTAAATATATATTTGAATCTCGGAATATTTTCAAAAATTAAGTTAACTTTTCAAGCAAAAATAGGAATTTTGAAACCCTCTTCCAGCATGTTAACTATCAGATTTTCAAAAAACTTATACCAAACAAATTTGAACAAAAGAATTTTTTCGATTTAACTTAATTATAAGGTACATAATTTAAATAAGTTTAAGGCTTTGCATGTTAGCTATAATAATAGTGCAAAAATAAATTGTATCAAAAATAAGAATATAATGCTGTAAAAATGCTATTCAAAGTAATTTTAAATTAAATAAGAATATTAAAATTGTTCATATAAGTGAAAATTGTGAATAAAATCATACATTGTTAAAAATTAAGTATTTTTATTAATAAAGTTAATATATCAAAAATAATTTTCGAAATTTAATGATTAAATGTTATTCATGTAATAGTAAAATAAAATAAATATATTATATGTAAAAATAATAATGATTAGCAAAGTTTTAAAATAAGATTTTTAAGATTATAATTAATAAAACCATAATTTAATTAACTAAAAGAATATAAATTATATTAAAAAATTTGAAAAATTAAAATACATTTTAAATATGTATAATAATTTAATATTAATGATTTTATAATTATTAATTTAATAATTATTAAATTTAATAATTTATTATAATTTGTATTAGTAATACAATAATATAAAGTGATCAATTTTTTTTTAATAATTATGTATTGTATTGATGAGTGAAGTATATTCAAAATTATTTTAACAATTTCAAATGATTATATTAATGTTATTATATCTAATTTTTAATTGTCTTCGTCTTGTTTGATTTTTATTTAATAGTAACCCAACCCTCCAGCAGTAACTTGGGCCCGAATGCTCCCTGGACTCTGCCTCAATAATCCAATGGTATCGATGCAGTTACTGGATAACAACTGAGTCGAGCCTGCAACATCACTCTCCCCAGCCGGTCCTGGAGTCTCTGAAACTCCTGTAACTGTAAAATAAAATAAATACTATTCTTAAATTAATAAGTATTTGTCACAATATTTATAGTAAGGTGAAATAGTTATTCAAATTTTAAATTGTAATCATTGTACTGTTTATGATAATTCTTACTTAAATCTAAAAGTAACAAGTTAACATATCATATGTTTATTTTTTGTTAATATGTTTATTATATTACAAAGGAAACAATTTTACATAATTAAGATTTTTTTTTAAATAATTGTAGAATCTATATGGATTATCATATGAATAAGGCTAACAATTCTTAGTATTGATACTAAAATATTTTTAACTTAAGTAGTACACGTATGTTAATGTAAATAAATTTTTATAATATGAATTTACTAATATTTTTTTTAATATAATTCTATAATATGTTATATATAACAGCCATTATGATTTATGAGCTGTCTGGACTGGTAAGACAATTACCTTAGTTTAAATAGTGAAAAAATAATTGAATAAACTTATAATTAATTGGAATTATGATTATTTTATAATCTAAAATTTTGTTATATAAGTATGAATAAAAATTAATTAAATTAAAAAAAAAAAAAATAATTAATAGTATGATAAAATATAAAATTTGGATTAAAAAATGATAAAATTAATATTAAATAAAATTACCCTATGAAATTAAACTATTTATATTAAGAAAATATAAATAAAATTTTAATTCTAAGATTTTGTGAATCATACATTACATTTATAAATACATGGTAAGTATAAATTTTATATATATATATATGAGGCGTGGTGAGGCAAAGTGATCTAAGTGCCCAAAATTGAAAAATACTTTTTTCTACACCAAAATGATCTATGTGCCCATCCCAATACTGTGTAAAGAGATCTATCTCCAAACTATCAATAAATTGTTGGTAAAAGCAATTATAGATGGAGCTGTCTGTATGTCCACGCTTGTCATTCGCTCTAATTGATCTAAGTCCATTCATGCTATTTTTATTTTTGTCGTTGTTATTATTATTTACGCACAATGTCGATAACAGTCAACATTATATCATCATGGTTTGCAGTTTCTATATCAGTCGATATTTTGTTGTGTACAAATAGCTATCATTTTTATTTTGCTCTGTGTTTTGTGATTTTATTTTGCGATCATGGATGAATCTGCTTTTAAACCATATGAAAATTTAAAGAATAAACGTAAAAGGAAAATAGAAAGTGAAAAAAGATTAAGTGGAAAAGAATACGAAACCGTTAAGAGAAAAACAAAAATATCAGGAAAAAAAGTACCTACAAACGAAGTAAGTAATTTTACTTTTTTTATCGTTAAGTATTTCATTAAGACAATGTAAAAAAAATACTATACAAATACCTACCGAAAGTTTTAATAATAATATTGAACTCTTCTTATATTACAGGTTATTTGCAAGTGTAAGTTTGGT